GTCAATGCCTGAGATGGCTGAAAGGAGCTTCCAAGAACCTGCAATGTTAAAGGCACCTGACACACTGTCTAAAGTCTTTGGGCTTTCTATAGAAAAGAAAACCTGACTAGGACCCATTGCTGAAGACAGTAGAGGTAAATGCCCTTTATGTATCTGAGCTACTAATGCCAGCAAGAACCTACAGAAGACATGAGAAATTAAGCCAAGAAACACCTAGTTCAGATATTGCTGACTGTTATTGAAAAAGCATGGGCGGAGTAAACTAAACTGTTTCTGTGTGATCAGTTCAGGTGGGAAATTTCTTTGCCTTGTATGTGTGCAGAGGAATTTGACAATGCACAAAAGTCAAAATATGCACTGATGAAACAGTTCTGTTTAAATTTGTTTCCAAGGTTAGGAAGAATAGGCTAAATTAGCTCAACAAAAGAGGGAGACCTCTTAATTGATTTTTTTCTTTCAGAGGAACTTGAAGTATACCTAAATGCTTTGGCATTTATTTCTGTAACCTGTATTTGTTCAGAATATTTTAAAAACAAATTCTAAACAAGGAATGATATATGGAAAACAGTGTTGAAAAACCAACATGAAATTAAAGACACAACTTAATGCACTTATTAACTAACTCTACATACTAAGACAGTCAAAATGTAAGAAAGTTATTTTTATGGTCAAGAAATCCATAAATTGGGTGCACTGAAATAACAGGGCTTGCTGCTAAAAATAGGTCAGCTCAGGTCTTCCTATCTTTTTGGAAGAAATCCCTTGCATAGGTTTTGTAATACAACATCACACTAGAGTCCTGACAGAAATATGACTTGGGGATCTATACTATGGCCTTGGATAGAACTCCTGTCAGGCCTCCTTGCTCAGTGTAATGGAGCATTTCCCTTAGCTTCTCTTAAAAGGAGCAAGTCATCTTCAACTGTCAGATGCTCACTGAAATGACTGGAATGTAACATATGAAGCGCTCTTAGTAACTCTGTAACTACATTACTTAGTAGAAGGGTAAATTGCCAGTATTATGTTTATATGTCAATAACATTATTATTCATAATACCATCCCAAAACAAGTATCAGAAATGCTGATGTTACTGAAACAATAACATCAGTAGACTTAAGAACAATTCCATTTGTAATGGCTGCTATTCATTTTCTATTACATAGCTGTATCGTATGTTTCAGAAGGTTACTGAAGTTCACATAGCAATCTATGTGAATAATTAAAACTTTCTACCAAAATAATAACCTTTAAGACTGCCAAACACTCACAGGGACTTAAAATTTACAATTAGGTGGGAGTTGAGAATCTGTTAGGATAGTTCTATTCTCAAGGTCTCTCCCCAAAAGAGTTGATTCACAGAAAAACCAGGCCTATATTCAATAAACTAATAGCCTGCTCTCAATGTTGGCTGCAACTGTAGAGAGATGTTTGGATGACAACTATGGTACTAGCAGAAGTAATGCAACAGTATAGATGTTGATATTATAGAAAAATATACTGATAGTTTAGCATGAACCTGATTGTGATTTGAAAAATAACTTCTTTCTTTTTTTCTTCTTCTTTTTCTGACACAGAAAACAAATGCCTGTGTAATCTGAACCACCGCATACCATTCATATTAACTTAACTGAATGGATCTTGTTCCTGATTAAATATACAAAGGGTAGAACTCACCCATCTTCCAGTGGCCAAGCATTATTGATCAAACTGAGACATGTTTTGGTTATATTGATGCCAGCCTTCCATCTGCAGGAAAGCTTCCAAGCAAGAAAACATTTTATGAACTAGACCTATGGAATTGTAGTCATGTCAAACTAACTTGGACTGTACAGTTCAGGAACTGTAAATCAAATAAGTGATCTCCATGAAATATTTCAAAGCTACATGTATGATGATTACTTATTTATTGATTAGATTTATATGGAATCTTTCATTCAGGAACTCCAGGAGGCATACAGAGCAGTCTCTCTTCCTGTTTTCCCCCCAACAACAACCTTGTGAGGTAGATTGGTTTCAGAGTGGCCCAAAGTCACCAACTGAGTTTTCATGGCTGAGGGTAGACTAGAACAGGAATCTCCCTGCTCTTAGACTAACATCTTAATCACCACATCAAACTGGCTGTCCAGTATCTTATTCTAAAAGTATATATTATTCTAAAATAATTCAAACTGTACTGTAGAGATAAAGCTTGAAATGGTTTTTAAATTCCATCTTTACTTCTTTTTACTTCCAAAAGGTCCATACAAAGGTAGACCATTTTCCCCAAAAGAACTTTATTCAGGTCTAGTTGAAACTGCCAGGGGTTGAATCCGGAAACATTTTTCTGAAAATATGTTCTAAAGTTGCTGCAGTTTTCATACTACAATATACTTTTGTATTCTATAATTACAAGATGTGGATTCAAGGAGTTCAAAATGGGGTGTTCTGATCTTACCAGAAGTGTTCTGACACCCTTGTTTCAAACTCAAACACTTCCTGAATGGTCAAAACAGCACTGGAATAAGACTATGGGAGCTATTTTCAAGTCAAAACTATGCTTTGTGCTCAAAACAGGGTTTCCTAGATCAAAATGTTTCAAATTTGGAACATTCTGTACATTATTACAAAGAATCACCTTTCAAAATATTAATTCCTGTATGTTTTGCACTACAACCTCTGAAGGAAGTATACAACTTAACCTTAAAATGCTAAGAATTTACAAAGGCCTACTTTGTTAAAAAATGACAATGCTCTGAAATAAAGGCCTATCTATAATGAAATATATTGTTTTGAATGAAGAAATCCAGTTAACAGCTCACAATTAAAACAGGAATTATTATTTATAAAAGTTTATCTTGCAGTCACATTTTATGCATAATAATTTCAGAGCAAATTCAGCGCTCAATGAGCAAATTCAGTTCAGAGAGGCTTATTCTGAAATATTATATAGGATTGCAGTATGTTTGATACTGATCATAAATCCACTCAAGTTTATTTTAAGTAAACATAGATTTGGTTAAAACTTAGATGTTAAAAATTAGTTGCTTGCTAATAAAAATATGAATATACTACAAATTAATATGAATCTATAGAATTTAGTACTTAACTGACTGAATAGTTAATATTAACATTACTTTAATTTTCAGAAAAAGTTGTATTAAATATTAACTATTCAGTTAAGAACTGAAAATAAGTCCCTGTGTATATGAACAGCATTCATTCATGTAACCTACTTGGACACAGATAGAACTTATCAGAGTATTACCTGAAGTTACTCTTATGAGCTAAATTGAGATTTCCATATGTACCTCAAGAGAAAGAAAAATGTAACCCTCACAACAATGTTGATGATTTTTTTTAAAAAAATGATATCCCAGAACTTTTACCTAAAAGTGCCCAACTGGCCTAAAAAAACAGCTTAACTTCTTGTATTCCAACTATATTACACAAATATTTTTTTCTCCAAAAGCAATTTACTTGTTACTACATTCTAAGAACTGAATATAAACAATTCTTCAAAAGTACAGTTCACCCTTTTCTACAATATGTGTGTCCAACTGAAGTTCCAAGTAGGGTTTTTCACCAAGCATCCGACTTGTTCAAAAAATATTTGTCCATATTGATAACTAGGTTAGAAAAGGCACTTTTATCAATATATTCGTGTTATCAGAGAAAGCATTCCTATAGCAAGCATTGTTTTTATTTCAAATGATAAAGCAAGGAAGCAGCACATACCAAGCTGCAGGTTACTTGGTTAGATTCCCTAGGCCTACTGAAATACACAGGCCATCTGTGCACATATCACAGTTCAAATACACCTTGAAGGCTTTAATAAATCAACAGCACAATATTCTCTTACTTTAACAAAAATGTTTTAAAAAAACAGTAACTCCACAACAGAACTGACCAAGCTATAGGAGTATGAACTGGAACTGGATGTGTTTAAAGTTTTTCTACTTCTCCAACTTCAAATTAAATCTGAACTTTGCATTGTAATAAATTTAATCTAAAAGACCCTCAAATAATATATGCCTTCAATGAGATTTATAAATACATAAATATAAATACATAAATATAAATAAACACAATGTAGGATTGAGGTAGGATTCTCAACATTGGATAGGTAGCAGTCTCTCTAAATAAGGATCTTTGAGTATTAACTACTTTAACCAAACAAATGAATCCTTAGCAGAAGAACGCTTGATGTAACGTTATAAATAATATTGAGAGTAAATTCTATATTAAGTCCTTAGATGCTGATCCATTAATAACTCTCAAAACATGATAAATAGATGTAATGTTAGTTTGCTTATAAGTAACCATAAAAAAGAACCTGGGCTTCAGAAGTGTCATAACTTAATAACTGTAACTGTGGCAGAAAGAGTTTCAAGAATTAATGTACTCTGATTTCATACTGCTGCCATTCGAAGCAAAATATTTCAATACTAATTCAAAGCAAATTATTCAGGTAACAAATTTAATCCATTTGCTATTACATAGTCTGGATACAACTTCTCAAGACCACCAACAGTAAATGCTCATAAATCCTTCTACAAACCTGTGAATAGCAGTTGGAAGGACTTTTCTATCTACCTGCATCAAAACATCACCCACAAAGCATAAAGCTAAAAATCTATGGCAGTTTGGGTTTCATTGTAAGCAATAAATATGCAAGGGCAAAACCTGTAATGAAAGGCTTCACTGCACACAACTGGGAGCAAAAAATGAACAGAGATATGCCTTATATATTACTTAAAATGGAACAACTGCCCCAGCACCTTTCAATCTGTGTTTGCTAAAAATAAAACAGAAATCAAGCGACTACTTTTTTCACCAACACACGAACTGATTCTGCCTCAAAAGTAGAAACAGAAAAGAAAACGAGAGAGGGAGAGAGAGAGAATATCAAGAAAACAAACACCCTCCCACTATCCAGATCGCTTCGCCTCGGAGTGAAATTGTGGGGTCGGAGAAAGCATTGCTTGCCTTACCTCCCTTTTCCATATAGAGACAAGCTTACCTTGGCTGCACCCCACTTTTATTTCCTTTCCTGGAGCAGTGGAGAAAGAGACACACACAAAGGGTAATAAAGGGGGAGGAGGGGAGAGCAGGGGGATGGGGGGAGCTGGTGAATTGGTGGCTGCTGCTCGTGTGTGTGTGTGTGGTGAGGTGTCTTCAGCCAGGGCCAAATAGCAGCAGCAGCAGCAGCAGCAGTAACAGTAGTAGAGGAGACGGAGCCGTGTTGCTAAGAGGCTTTGGGTCTCTTTTCTCTCTCGTCTGACGGCCAAAGCGGGGGAAGAAACTCTCCTTCTCTCACTAGGTCTCTCTGGGATCCTCTAGCTAGGCTGGGGGTGGGGGAGAAACTCAATCTTCTCGGAGCTAACCCCCCCCGCAAACCAATTCAAGGTGGAATTAGTGCTCTGTCCCTTTAACAATATAAATAAAAGGTCCCCCCAGTCTCCCCCTTCCCTCTCTTCTTCATCATCAGCTGCTGCTGCTGCTGAGGCTCTGGCTCTGGCTGGGAGAAAGATGGGAGGCTGTCACTGCGCATGCGCCCCAGGGGAGCTTGCTGGGTTAAAGGAGGGGGAGGGAAAAGTTTCCTCCCACAAGGCCCCGCGCCTAGAGCGAACCCGGAAAAAGATTCCGCAAAGATGGAAGAAAGGGGGGCGGAAGTGATAGGCGGGGAAATCAGAGCGTAAAGCGGAAGTAGGTGTGTGGGTGGAGGCGAGGGGGAAGAGAACCTTGAAAAGGCCCGCGACAGAGGCAGTCTTGTATACGGGTGTAGAAGTGTTGTTGCGCGCGTGCGTATTTGCTAGCATGGTCACATGGTAGGCGCGTGCGTGCGTGGTGGTGGTTGCTGGGAGGCTTGAGCCGTTGGCCGAGGAGTAACGACTCTCGCAGGGAAAGTTTGGGCCGTCTGTGGTTGGGCCCAGAAGAGGGAACGCAAGGAAGCTGAATGGAGAAGGGCGGCGGTGAGTCGAGAATCCGCATAGCCTGGGCGGTGGGTTCCCTTTTATTAATGGAATTTCTGAGAATGGCAAACTGGGATCACGGCTCCGAGGCAACTCAAGGATGCCTTTGGGGCGACTTCTGTTCTGCCTGAGAGAGAGAGAGCAGGCGGCTTTCCTCCTTGGTGTTCCTTCTGAGGGACATACTGTAACTGAATCCGAGAGTTCGCTTCCTCAGGATAGGATCACCCCGAATATAGGCTTTTAGAAAGGGCCCATTCATGGAGATTGAGACGATTAGAGATCTCCCGTTATGAGGGATGTATGTTATCTCCAAGATCACAGATACACCGAAGAACAGCCGGCAGTTGCCCTCATTTCCAGCTCCAGTTTATCTGCCCTCCTCTCGTAGATGTTTGATAAGCGACTTACTTGATCTTGCACGTATATAGTTTTAGGTGGAAGGAACTTGACAATTTTAGGGTGCCAAGCCCACTTGCAAAGCAGTTTCACTGACTCTGATGATTGTAGCTGGGACGGTCATTTGTTGAACTCTTCAGAACAGGGAGCTGCTAACATCCGGCAGTCACGTGGTCCGTTCAGTCCCCGGCTCTGCTGTTATTTTTACTGTAAAAATAGATGTAAGTTATGACTGGTCTTCTGTGGGTGATGAAAGCTGACAAATACTAGATTTCTACTATCTACTGATACTAGATTTCTGCACATGGAATAGCAGGGCAATTGACATAACAATTTAGTTGAGTTCCGTCTCAAAGCAGTCTCCACAGCATAAGTAGCTAACAGTGAAATAGTATCGTATGAAAGAAATAGCTTTCCAGAGTTTACATTTTTTAAACATTTCTGCTCCACTTTTTCATAAGCTTTATGAACAAAAGGCATAAAAACCTGCACCAGAATTGCTGAGGTAGGTGAAAGTTCATTTTCACATTTTGGTATATAAATATGCTGCCCTTGTATGTTACAAAAACAAAAATAGGATCAGGGGACCAGGGCCACTACAAGTTATATATGTGTGTGTCTATGTGATAAGTTCCATCTGTGTTACTTTTGAAAATGAACTCTATACTACAAGTCTCAGTATGCCAAACAGATAAGGCTGTGTTGAACAAAAAGTATAATCTAAAACATATATCCAGACATTGAATCTTTCTAGCAGGTCTACAAAGGTAAAAAGATAATTCAAAGATGGTAGTAAATGTACAAATATTATGAAGAATTATCAGTATAGAATAAAGAAGAAGACTTCCATAGTCTTCTAAGAAACTTGGCTACTTAAGCATTTTCTGGTACATACATGTATATGAGCTATTGGCAGCAAGCGTCCAGATCCTCTCAACAGCCTCTGAGTAACCTTTCATGTCCTCCTGTGAGTAACTGTCATGGCACCTGCCACCAAGATTTCAATGGCCTCAACCCTGTTGGCTTTCCATTGCACCTTGAAGACCTGGCTTGTTATTCAGGCACTGGGGCCAGTATGTTAATTGAGCCTGGTGTGTGAGGTTGGTCAGAGTCCCCCACCCATCCAAAGGTTTATTAGGTGGGTTGGTCATATTATACTCTTTATGTGTATATTTAATTATTATGTTTCTTTCTTACAGATACTTAAGTTATTGTTTTTACTTTTGTTTTTATGCTTTTATCTATTGTTCACTTCCCGGAGTCACTCTGTTGTACCACTGTATACGCACTTATAGATTACACTCACATATATAACAACCAAGGGCCTCACACCCTTCAGGATTAGATTTTCAAGAGACATGTGATTTTGGGAATAAAGAGAAGTTAGTTTTTGAAGAGAATTCAGATTATTGAAGGGAGGTTAGGATGTGAAGCTTCTTTTTTACAACTGAATTTTTAAACTGAATAATGTGTGTAACATTTAATGACTTACAGTTATTGCTGTTTGTCTCATTGAATGCTAAATGGCATTATGTGTGTCTAACACTACAATTTTCTAAATTTTATTTTATAAGTCTATTTTTGCTGCTCTAGGTTAAACAAAGAAGTGGGGAGTAAGAATTACTTTCAACATATGCAATTACTTTCTGTAATATAAAATATTTTCTCCTTTTAGAATGTGAGTTAAAATGAGCAAACGGAAATTGAAGAAAGATAGCTTTACAAATGGGGAATGCATTTCAGAGGTTAGTATTACCATTCTTACAATTTCTTTTTAAATACAAGGGAAAATATTTATAATTCAGTGATTTGTCCTTATAGTTACTGTGCACTATTTATCTGCACAAGGGATTTTGTTAGGAATATGAAGCTGGATGCAAAAGTGTCTGGAAGCTGTTAGAGTCTGGATGCAAGAAAACATTCTGAAATTGAACTCAAGCAGGATGGAGTTGCTGTCTGTTAGCTCCAGTGATATATCTGAAGGAGGCAAATCCATGACTTGGGAGTCCTTCTGAATTCATGACTACTACTGGAAGGGCTGGTAGCAGTCATAATCAGAGGCCCTTGTGCCTAACTCTGGTTGATATGCCAGTTACAACCCTACCTGGAACGGAAGGACTTTGCTATAGTGACATCTGCCCTCTGAGCTACTGTATGGGACATTACAGTGAGCTTCCTTTGAAAATCACTTGGAACTTGCACTTGGTCCAGAATGTGACAGTCCACATTACACTAATTATATGTGCTTTACACTGGTTGCCAGTGAGTTTCCAGATTAAATCACTTGGAACTTGCACTTGGTCCAGAATGTGACAGTTCACATTACACTAATTATATGTGCTTTACACTGGTTGCCAGTGAGTTTCCAGATGCAATTGAAAGTGCTGTTTTTCTCCTATTATGCTTTTTATGCCTAGAACCACCTTTTCCAATTGTTTCTCTAATCTCACCTGGGAGAAACTTCTACTAGTATTCTTTTTTTTTGGAAGTGAGGGGGAGTTGAGGCATGGAGATGTTTTGCATTGTCTTAATTAAGGTTTATAATCCTCTGGCTCTCAGAACAGCCCAGAGAAAATTAGCCCATCTGTCCATGTCTTAACCATTTACAGCTAAGAAAGTCTCTTTGAAGTTCCATCTTCACCAACCATTCCTCCATTGTGGGTAATGCCAGATCTTTCCACTTTTATGCATACAATCTCGCTGCAGTTATATACAAAAACAGAGTTCTGTGACTTTTTTCCAACTGTTTATCCATCAATCCCAAAAGAAAAGCCTCTGGTCTCAATTGTATATTTATCTTTAAAATCCTCTGAATCAGTGTGTGTATTTGAATCCAAAATTTTCTAGCTTTTTTATGTGTCCACCAAGCATGATAAGATGTCCCTTCTTCACATTTCCAACATAAATTCGAAGTGCCTCTATACATTCTAGACCAGGGGTCCCCAACCCCCGGGCCGCAGACTGGTACCAGTCCGTGGCCTGTTAGGAACCAGGCCGCAGAGCAGGAGGTGAGCGGTGGGCAAAAACAGCTGCTCTCCATCGCTCGCGTTACCGCCTGAGCTCTACCTCCTATCAGATCAGCAGTGGTATTAGATTCTCATAGGAGCGCGAACCCTACTGTGAACTGCACGTGCAAGGGATCTAAGTTGCATGCTCAGAATCTGACACTTATTTTACTCCGCCTGTGGCCCGCCCATTATTTTATTTACCACTGTTGTCTGCGCCTCTTTCCCACACTGCGTACTTGTCTCAGTCACAGTTTTGGTAAGCCCACAAGCTTTTTTTTTTTTTTTATCTGTTCAATCGTGTCCAATTCTTCGGAGACTGCCTGGACAAGTCCTGACCGGCAACCGATTCCTATTCCCGCGCAAAGCACCGCCAGCATTTCCTCCCACCAAAATAATAATAGAAATAATAATTATAATAATGGAAATAATAATAGAAATAAAGTGCACAATAAATGTAATGTGCTTGAATCATCCCAAAACCACCATTCTCCCCCGGTCTATGGAAAACTTGTCTTCCACGAAACTGGTCCCTGGTGCCAAAAAGGTTTGGGACTGCTGTTCTAGACAATTTCTCTGGTGACATATACCAATGATACATCATTTTATAAAAAATTCTTAAGATTACTATGTAAATTTCAATCCTTTTAACCACATATTTTCCCATTGTTCCATCTATATTATAACCAAAATTTTAGCCCACTTTATCATACATTCTTTCACTTGTTCTTCTGTTTCAAATTTCAATAAAAGTTTATACATTTTAGCAACTATATGTTAAGATTACTATGTAAATTTCAATCCTTTTAACCACATATTTTCCCATTGTTCCATCTATATTATAACCAAAATTTTAGCCCACTTTATCATACATTCTTTCACTTGTTCTTCTGTTTCAAATTTCAATAAAAGTTTATACATTTTAGCAACTATATGTTCTTCATTTGTACACAATTCTATTTCAAACTCTGTGTTACAATGTTCAAAACGATAAACTCTTTTGTCTATTTTAAATATTTCTAATAACTGTAGATAAGAAAAACATTGACAACTATATCCCTCTGCCACCAGTTCTCTTGATTTTATTTTATATTCATGTTGGCAGAGTTCTAGTATCTCATAAGTTAGCCATTTGTGTTTGTCTATTATTTCTTGTCTGTAAAATGCTTCTTGTGCTGAGAGCCACAAAGATGTTTTCAGGCACAACCTGGGTTTGTATCTATTCCATATTATTAATATGGCACGCCTAACATAACGATTTTTAAAATCCACATTAACCTTGACTTTGTTATGCCACAAATATCCATGGCACCCAAATCTCAGGTTCTGTTCTTCTAATTCCAAGAGCCTTCTATTTCTCAGCAGCATCCACTCTTTCATCCAAACCAAATAACAAGCTGCAAAATATACTCTCAAATCAGACCTAATCCTTAACATACAATTCATATTTGTCATAGTGATACCCAGATATTTTACTTCCTTCTCAATCTTAAAACGTGTTTTATTCATCAATTCTGTTTGATCTTCTATTTTCATGTTTTTATTAACATCTTCGTCTTCTGTTGATCTTGAAACCTGCTAATGCACCAAATTCTTTTAGTTTTCCCATTAATATTTCAGTTCCCTTTCAAGGATCTTCAAAAACCAACACCAAGTCATTTGTAAAAGCCCTTATAAGTCCCTTTTTAAATCTTTACTCCACAATCCTCTCATCTTGTCTTATATTTCTATTCAGTACTTCAAGAACCAAAATAAATAAAAGAGGAGAGAGTGGGCATCCCTGTCTTGTTCCTTTTTGTATCTCACAAGGCTTTGTTGTTGTTTTTTTCAAATAATTTTATTAAGAATTATAAATGAAAAGAATAAAAATACAAAATACAAAAAATGTCAACAGAAAAATACAAAAGAAAGAAAAAAAGGGAGGGGTGTGGAAAAGAAAGAAAAGAGAAAAGAAAAAGAAGCAATTTCCCCCTTCATCTCAGCAAGTAAAGGCAATTTTAATAACCTATCACCATCTCTAAATACAACATAATCTCTCTTCTCCCCATAGCTAATCTCTTAAGTAAAAAAACAAAATCCAAATACTTCGTCAATCGTTTTTTCTCAGCAAAAATCCAGTAAGAGCAACCAGATATAACTATTTTCCTCTTTTAGCCCTGATCAAAGAAACCGACCTTGTATTCCTTCCCAAAGTTTTTAAAAATGCTCTTTAACCCCTTCAAAGAGAGTCCCAAGGGTAGTTTGCCGGTCATCTGTGTTTCAAGGCAAAAATCTTTCAGAACCTTGATAGGTTTCTTTTGAATATACAATAAGTAGAGTTTATCTTTTGTTTGTTACTTGTAATATAGTCCTTCAAAACCTTAACAGAGCTCTTTTGTATATGCAATAAAAAAAATATCGAAATCAGTTTCCTGGTTTGATATCTGTACATGTCTTTTAGGGAATAAGTCATCCACCAACTCCATTTGTGTTACATTTAAGTCCCCCTTCCAAGTAATTTTATAGACATACATTGCAATTTGTTCTTGGTCTATAACATCATTACAACATGTTATGTCCAACTTGTAAACTGTTCCAACTTCTTCCTTCGGGATGGTGCTACAGAGCACCATATGTTAAAACATCTAGATATCAGAATAGTTTTTTCCCTTGTGC